GCTATATTATATCTTTTGAATATTTTGTATTGTTTAACAACAGCTGGGGGTGACTCAGCAGCCACAGCTCCCAAAGTGAGCTGTTCCAGTGGAACTTCTAGAATTTCATTCTCTTGATTTCCACCCTTTGTGAAGTAAAGGACAATACAGTCACCTTGTGAGGTCCTAATATTATTGTTGTTGAAGGCTTCATTGAGGTTGGGGCGCCATTGTGTTATATATTGTGGTCTGCAGATTTTAGAGTCTAAACAGACAAGAGAGAAAGAATGATGGAGGAAAAATAGACACAATGAATCAAAGGAATATGCCCAAGGTCATACAGTAGGGTCAGAAAAAATACACTTCTCCTGGCTCAAGCTTAACTGCCCTGAACTCTAGAGAAGACTGTTCTAGGCAATTATTGGATTTGATTGTGCTTCAGAAGAAACTAAAAGGTTAATTTAGTGGATTGGGAAGAAAGAAAGATCTGTAAGTAGGGAGGCAAATAGAGGCTAGTACACTGCATCCTTTCCCAAACCTTTTGTCCAGCTTGTCTATTTATATTGTAAGCTCTTTGGGACATAGACAGTGTCTAGGCCCCGTTCTCAGGCAGTCATTAAGTACTACCTATTTTTATTGTTGCTGTTGTTGTTGTTATGTGGCTACTGATGATGATGGTGATGAATAGGAATAGGGAAAAGACAAAGAGATGATCTTGTAGATGTACTAGTCTGAAACTCAAGAGATTTGGGTTCAGTTTCCCACTCTCTATCCCAGTCTCAGTCTCTGATTTAAAAAAGCCATTTACATTCCCTGCACCACAATTCCCCATCTAAGAAAACAATTCTTCCTCTTTTGTCCACCCTTTTCCTGTCTTGTCTAATTAAGTTGTACGTTCTTCAGTGTGGAGACTATCTTAGCATATGTATGTATAGTGGGACGTGTGATGGGGCCCAACAACAACTAGGAGTCTAGGCAATACTATAACAATAATACTAATACTGTAATGCATATAATAAACAATTGTTTACTAATAAGACAATAATTGAGAAACTAGAGAACAAAATCCCCCTATCAGTTATAGTGATGCCTCCCCAGTAGTTTAAAGTACTGATGTAACTGGGGCAATAGGGGAAAGAGAAACAAAAGTGGGAGACAAAGTAGAACGGTGCTGTTTTGCTTTTCTTCTATGACATTTAATCAATGGCCTTAGACTTTAACCACTGCCATTCTTAAGTCAGGCATCCAGTAAACCAAGACTGCATTGAACCTGTTTTTTAGCATTCAGAATTGCCACACAATGACATTTTTAGAGCAGCCAGACCAGACCACCTGCTTTTATTGCTGATACATCAGCAAATCCATGTATCATTCGGAACTGGGGAAGCTTCATGAGATTTGGAGAGGTGGCCCATTGCCTTTGGCTGCCCACAGTTTTCTGCTGCCTTCGCTCAGTATTGGGACAACAGGAAATACAGCTGTGTTGTGCGCTCTTCTGCCCCCACTCAAGAAAAAAGTTATGTGATCAGACAGTCATCAAGCATTCTGCTGCTTGATTGGCAACTTCCTCATGCTGAACTTGTACATTTTTGAGCTACAAAAAGGAATAAGACTGGCCAGTCAATCAAACACACCCTTGTGATCATCGTGGTAACATGGTGCGCCCATTGAAGTGGGAGCACGGGGATCCATTCCTTGGGTCAAGTGTTCACAACAAGGTTGCAAAGATAATGGATTTGTTTGTACAGCAGTGATTTTTGAGGGCTGAGACAGTGGCAGAAAGGCATGGCCAGATCTCTTTGCTGTTAAGGACCAAACGTGGCTCTGTTCCCCGCTGCAGCACTAATAAAGACAGAAAAGTGCTGAGTTAAGATGATTGGCTTACTCTGAGGAATGCTTCCTTCATGCAGTGAGTGCAGGAAAATGTGCAGGGGCTGAGAGGGGAGTTCCCTGTGGCCTTCCTTACACTTATTTATGTATGGAACAGCAGACACTGTACAGCGCCACCTGACCAAGACTCGGAAGCCCGTATGGGTGGTATAGTGCTCGCCATGTTCCAGAACAGGCTTTCTGTACCCCCAGGGGGCCACAGAGTTTCAAGGTCCACTTGGTGTGTCTTGGTGTGCTCATGCATGGGTGTAGCAGAAGGAGAAAGTCAGGGAGCACAGGTGGATTTTGCCCTCAAGACTAAGTCCTGACTCAGTTTTTTTTCATGCTTTGCTCACCCAAGGGGTCTTTTTTTCTTATTCTTACCATAGCAAGATGTATCTTTCTGCCAGTTGCTATTTCCAGTGTCTTGAGACTGTAAGTATTTGAGTAATGTTATTAATTCCTTTTCCTTCTTTCTGCAGGGTTATTTAAAGCAGTGCCGGAAGAGGAGAGACATGTTCAGCGATGAGCAGTTGAAGGTCATATTTGGCAACATTGAAGATATCTATAGGTTTCAAATGGGTTTTGTCCGGGACTTGGAGAAACAGTATAACAATGAGGACCCCCACCTCAGTGAAATTGGACCTTGCTTCCTGGAACATGTAAGTCTTTGAGGCAGAAGGAATGGAAAGGCAAGGGCAACCAGAAATTAATTGGTGTTCATTGTTTTGGGTGGTAAGTTTCTCAGGTTACAGTCTGCAGACTACTTGATATTGTGAGAAAGGAGTATGGGGCAAACCCAGAAGTGAAGCATAAGATTATAAGTGACCTCTTACAATCAGATCTCATCAGTCTATTTCCATTCATAAAACTGAGTGTGAGGTCACTAATTGGTCACTAATCATCAGCATAGCCAGAAATAATAGATAGTCTAAGTTGATCTTACACTGCATGCACCTTGCTGAAAGAAAAAACAGATGCATTCTCCTGGGTCCTTGGGCTATAATTTACACCAACAGGGACTCCATTCACTCATCATGATACAGGCATCATAGGAAATAAGGAAGATCAAGTTAATGCAAGGAAGTGTAACTTACTGCCCCTTTGCATCATTTCTGAATGTGGCCCTGTTGGTCAGGATCGAGTAAAGCTGTTCAGAAATGGAATTTTTTTTGTGAAGCAATTATAAATGTCTGAAGACATTTTAATTCTTCATATTTAATCAAAGGAATGATTTTAAACAAGTTTTAATTGTAAATTTTTACTTTAGAAAAGTTTGAGTTTTCATTTTTGGGGGGGTTTTCTTTCCTTCACTTCCCCCTTTTTCCTTCCTCTTCTTTTCTCATTTTGCTACTGAAGCAAGACAAGAGTGAAAAGAAGGAAAAGTAGTAACCTGAGCGAGAGAAAGGAGCAAAAATAATTCCATCATCTAGTTTTATTTAAAAAATCAAACAAAAGCCAACAGCAGCAACAGTCCAAATCACACGACCTCAGAACTGTGGGGAGAATGCTCCATCCGCCAGCTGTTTCTGAGTTTGGAAAAAAGATGTTTTTGTTTGATAAAATGGATATCTCAAACCCTACACTGTTTCTTTTTCTGTTCCTTGGTTTTGTTTATCCCTATGAGGTTATGTATCCCCTTGTGTTTCAGCTTCCCTTTCTACAAAATGGAGACAATACTTATCTGAGGAGAAGGTTGGCAAGATTGGACTAGCTAATCTTCATAGAGTGAATTGGGATATATATAGATCAAAATATCCTGTATAACTGCAACAACAGACAATATTGATATCCCTCTTGGAGAGCTATAAGCCAACCTAATAGGGTTTCAGGCACTAGGGTTACACAGATATAGAGTACAGCTTTATAGAAACTATTCTTAAGGAATTTGATAAAGTATGAGATCTTTCCTACTTTTAAAACCATCCAATGGGTATAAATTTTCATTATTAAATTTTATAGCATGGTTTGGAAATGTTAACCCCCACATTTTCTTTGTCTGTTGAATTGTTATAGAACTTTGCCATAAGAGATGTATTATTTTATCATATGCACTGATGATGGTGGCCATGATATAATTACACAAAAACCTCCATGCTTGACACCTTTATAATGATAGTAAAACTAATTAGAGCGGTAAAAAAATAACAAAGATTTCTTGGAGAGGGTAGAAACCCTCAAACTTTGGGGCATTTAGCTGGCATATATCTACTAGGACTCAAAGAAAAAAACTTTATAAGGCATGTTATTCCATACTGGTCTTCTACACAGTGTTTCTTGTACTGTCATCTGAAGCAACTTGTCCTGGCCACAGTCGGAGATGAACTCTTGATCTGATCATAACTGGCAATTCCTATGTTTGTTCCTCAAGTTATGGTACACCTGAGATTTAGCTCTGTGAAAGCAATTTGCAAATATCTGGCTCATTATATGATAGGTTGTTTTCAAAGAATGGTTTTAAAAATAACTCTTAAGCCGCTCTCAAACCCATGTATGACAAGAGCACCAGTTGTTTGGTTAAACAGGAAAAAAAATCACCATCATCTGGCATTTCTAACTGCCTGCCAACTGAGTAGAAAACACACATCCGTGACTAACAGCAAGGTATATTAGTAAGGAATAAAAACCCAGCTAAATGTATCCCCACCCTCAACCGCTCCTCTTGTGACTTTGCTTCTCTGCTGGATGGGAGGGTACAAGGCAATGCTTCATGCTGCCTGAATGACAGCAAGGCAGCAGATAGCTTACTCATGCTAAACACACACTGAATAGGACATTTTAGCTGACAATATAGCCCTGGAGCGTTTAGCCCACCCCATTTTGCCAGTTACATAAGCCATGTATTATGGGAGCTGATAAATTGGCCAGTGTTGTAAATATGTCAGGAAATGTCAAGAAAATTACAGTTCTGCTTTTTTAGGCTTTCCTTTAGGGAGAATGAAGTGCTAAATCGGAGCTTATGTAAGAGGTGCTGTGATCCAGGATGCAGATCCGTTTATGTATAACTTCATTACTTACAGTCATGGCTGGGCTGAGCTACATTTCACATTAGCAACACTTCAGTTATTATTAGAGAAACTCATTGTAGACAGTAATAAAACTTCATGGGATATCATTAAAACCACTCACCACTCACTTCCCTTAACTGCCACTGGTCTTTTAATCAAAGAGCATCCTTATTTTCGAGGAGCTATATTGTAATAGCATCATCCCTCATTATATTTTTAGGCCTGGGGCCTAGATGTTACAGGGAATCTGCAGATAAAGAAGCAGATTGGATAACCCATACCACAGAACGGTAGGCTCTCCCTTGGGCTGCCAGGCTAGTCTGCTCCGGAAAGCCTCCCCACATGGTTATGACGGGAGGAGTTTGGCTTCCAACTGGGACTTAGGTCCCTTGAACTCACATGCTCTTCAAGAGCCCTTGAAAGAGAAGTGATTCTCAGTCAGCTTGCTGAGGCACCGTAGGGTAGTAATCCAATACTAGGCCTCCCTGTGGTTGCTGGGGTATCTTTCTTTTATTTATTTTAATTTATTCTTGTTAGCAAGTTGAGTAGTTGATTGTTCCCAGTGTTTGTCTGATGTGCTCTCCTCTCTTCTCTCTGTGTCTCTCTGCATGCATTCTTCCCTCCCACCTCTCACAGCAAGACGGGTTCTGGATCTACTCAGAGTACTGTAACAATCACTTGGATGCATGCATGGAGCTCTCCAAGCTGATGAAAGATGGCAGGTACCAGCATTTCTTTGAAGCGTGTCGTCTGTTGCAGCAGATGATTGATATTGCCATAGATGGTTTCCTTTTGACACCAGTGCAGAAGATCTGCAAATACCCCTTGCAGCTGGCAGAGTTACTGAAGTACACCGCACAGGATCACAGGTATAGAGAGCTTTATCACTAAGTTTGTGTTTCAAAAGCTTTTACTAATTCGGGACTTGGGTAGCCTTTTCTGTATATAGCATTTACACACAGTAAATAGCAAGTGGTTTCCTCTCTTTCCAGTTCTTGTATCCAGCTACTTCTCTTCAGGATAACTTGTTAAAATGAAAGCAGGACAAAGCTGTAGCAACCTAGTTAGAAAGTGTGTTTGAAGTATTTGCCATCTTTGGAACCAAACTGAAATTTAATGTAGTCAGAGACCCAGACTAATTATATGTAGCTGTGATTTTTGATGCTACCTGCTGGCCCAGGTGAATTATTGATTCAGATAGGTGGTTAGGATGCATTAGTCAAAAAGGTTCATTTCCCTCTTGTGACAATGCATTCCTTACATAAGGACCTCTAAGATATGAACAGAAATGGGCGAGGGTAGCAATTCAGATCTGAAAATACTCAAATTTAAGGAAAATGCAAATCCTGATCTGATTTTTCCAGCTTGGTTCTTTCCCTGGTTGTGAAACATGAGTTTGGTTCTGAGAAGCACCTAAGAAATGGAATACTTCTCTCTACTACCAGGATCTGCCAATCCCACATGACTTCTGATGTCTCTTGCGGTTTTCTGAGGTTTACTTCAGGACAGAAGTATCATGGGTCTGATTACTTAAACTGGTGTAGATCTAGAGTAACTCTGGTGAAATCAGTGGAGTTCAAGTGGTGAGACACTCTTTTAAGTAAGAGGAGAATCAAGTCCTATAAGAATCTCTCTCTCCTGGCAGAAGGAGGTTAAAGGAAAGGGTTAAAAAAAGCTACATGTCTCAGAAACATCTCTAAAGATTTTTACCAGTTTGTGAATTGGTTCTGGGAATGGACAAAATAGTAATAAGAGTAGAGGGTTATGCTGGTTTGATCTGGTTCACAGATCTCTAATTTATGTTAGCCAAACTGAATGCAAAACTCTGAATATAAATGCCTCTACAGATTTGAGAGGCAAGGATTTCTCAGGGTGATATCTTTCAAAGCAGGTCTGCTGATGAAGAATGTCTTGCATTCAATAGTTTATCTAACTCTATCCCTACTATGCAGCTGGTCCAATAAAAGATTTTGCCCTAAAAAAATCCTTGCCTCCAACATAATTTCTGAACCATCACAGCTACAACATTACTTTTAAACTACCATCTTCAGATTTGGATATTGGATTTTCAGTCCCAGATCTCAATCCAAATTTTCTCTCTACCTTTATCCTAGAGCCAAATCAAACCCTGAGTTTTGAACTTCATGAATTCTAGGGTACTTGAAACCTGATCTGGAGCACAAATCTTGCGGCTTCTTCTCTTTTACAATCCCAAACCATTGTCACGTGATTGCTGTTTTGTGGTGCAAATGAGGTTTGTGGTTTCACAGAGCTTACAAAAAGGCAGCCTCAGAAAAGACAGCCTCAAATATATGTCATTTAAAGCATCCTTCTCTTAGTTAATTAGTAATAATATCAAATGGGACATTTACAGTATGATTACACCAAGAGTAAATTACATTTTTGGGGTCCAGCCTAATTTAAAACATTCATTTTGCATTGAAAATTAATACGTGAATTAATTTCAGCATCACCTGTGAGTGGATACTGTTAGGTCTTTTTCTTAGATGTTTCTCTTAGAGCTCTGTGTCTGTTATACACAAGTGTAAGGCAATGGGCCTGAATCCAAATTCCTATATCGTTCTATCTTAAGTTAGCACATGGCAATTTGACAGAAGTCCAGACTTACATCTTGATGGAGCCCTGAAAGGAAGCCATTGTATCCCAAATATAATTGGCAAGCAAATTATTGACCTTTAATTTTATTTTTAATGTTATCCTAATATTAATCCACAAGCCAAAAGCTTTGCTTCTGCCATATTTCTTCCAGGTTCTTTATCGGCTCAGCCGCAGACATGGGCTGAGAGCCCAAAAAGTTCAATCAGTGATTCTTGCTTTATTAATGCATGGAAGGAAAAATGCACGTTGGTTCCTCTCCAAAAAGAACATTAGAATTAGTGAATTAGCATTACCAGAATAAAGCCCAGTTCGACTGGCACCAGCCCCCTCCACATGGGTGCAGGAGTAGGAATAGTTTCAAAACTTGGCTCTGTTCAGTTGTTCATTGTCTCTGGGCTGATTCATCTGAATTTTTCACAAAGGCACAACTGTTCAGCTTCTCAAGATTTTCACCATTTAATATGAATGGAATATTTGAAGGTTATAGGTGCAACATTGCCTCCTGAGCACCTGGCCTTGCAAAGGCCACTGACTAGCAGTTTCATCAAGTTCCTCAGTGAAAAGTTTAAAAACAGATGAGATTCAAGAGAGGGAGTTGGCTTGGGATAGAAGGTGCCCTGAGGTTTTCCTGTCCATTCGACATTAAGAGCCCTTTTAAAATTGTGTATTTGTTTGTTTTGTTTTTTAATAAAAATGTAATATCTTTTCATTGTACAGGTAATACCTAGTGCCTGACCCAACCTCATCTGTCATCTGTGTCTATTGTCAGGTTATTGGCAATGTTGCTGGCTTGCTTTAAAAAATTCATTTCTACACTGGTAATGTCGTGTTGTTGAGAGACCAGTGCCTGAGATCTGAGTCTGAGTTTAGTGTGAGACTGTTCTGATCTATGCACCCAAGTTAGTTACCCTTATGGCCATGTATCACTTTTGCATGAGTATAACTGCCAGAGGCGCAGCTATGACCCTGTTTGTATAAGTCATGCACCGTTCCTTATCTTTACTGCTCTCTCAGTCCTCATGTAAGCAATTTTCTATGATCAGAATGCACAAATATTTAAAAGACTATATAACTGTCTCCATTATAGCATGGCTTCCCCTCTGTTCACACACCCACACACACACATTCATGATAAATACCAAAAGGTCCTCAAGAGCATTAGCTCAGCAACTTTTCACCATCTACCTACACATATTCTGCTCCTGAAAGCATCATCTCCAGCCACCATCTCTTTGTAGTAAAAGACCAAAACCATTCACTCATTAGGTTTGGAATTAGTAGGGACCTTGTGGAGTTGGCCAGGGTATTGCTAGATTCATAGATTGTAAGGCTGGAAGGGACCGCGGAAGATCATCAGGTCCAGTTCCCTGCACCAAGCAGGAAAGACAACTGGGGGTCAGGTGACCCCACCAAGGTGAACGTCCAGACTCCTCTTGAAGATTTCCAGGGTAGATGATTGCACCACCTCTGGAGGGAACTTATTTCACAGTCTGGACACCCTGACTGTGAAGAAGTTTTTCCTAATGTTGAGCCTGAATCGATCTTCCAGGAGTTTGTGGTTATTACTCCTGGTTTTCCACTTGGATGCCTTAGTGAACAATTGCTCACTGAGCCCTTGATGTACTCCCCTAGTGTAGTGGTAAGCTGCTACCAGGTCCCCTCTCAGTCTTCTTTTCTTCAGGCTGAAGAGTCCAAGATCCCTCAGCCTTTCCTCAAATGGCTTGCCTTTTAAGACTCTGACCATATTATGTGGCTCTTCTTTGGACTCTCTCAAGCTTGTCCACATCCTTGTTAAATTGTGGTGCCCAGAATTGGACACAGTACTCCAGTTGTGGTGTCACCAGTGCTGAGTAGAGTGGAACAGTCACGTCCTTGGCTTTGCTGGCAATGCATCAATTTATGCATGCTAGAGTATTATTTGCCCTACTGGCTACAGCATCACGCTGCCAGCTTAGTGCTGCCAAGCCCATAGGTGTGTTGGGAGTTGCTCATCCCAGGGGGGAGCACTTTACATTTTTCAACTTTGCAGTTCATCAGGTTCCAATCCATCCAACTTGCCAACCTGTCTAGGTCCGCCTGTATCTGCAGCCTATTGTCAGTTATTTCAGTCACATGCAGACCTGTAGGACACTGCTTGCCAGCTGACTAGGGTGGGACCGTTTCTAATTGGAGATCTACACGCCCACGTTTCACCTGCCACGACTTGATGTTAAAGGAATTGGTTCAGTACCTGTACGTGTAGTCCCATTAGTAGTCTCACTGTCATCCTGCGAAGGTCCTACATTCCTGAGGGCTCCGCCACCCCTACACCTTCGCCCATTCCACTGGGTTCTGTTCAGCCAGTTGGTCTTTCGACGTGACCTCAATTCCAAACAAAACAGGAGAAACAAGAAAACAAAACCAGGCACTCTTGGCCTGGGTTATTATTCCGGCTGCTTTTAGCTGAGAGCAAAAACAAAATTGACTTTTGTGAGGACAGTCCCTTTTTTCTGCCCCTTTCCTCTCTTTGGTGGCTCTCTCTGAGCTTCTTGTTGAGGTTGCCATGATTCCCTTTATCACATTAGGTCCATTGGTGACACCATTTTTGGGTTGTGCCACTTCTACGTGCTTCACGGTACCACAAATCTATAGTGCCCCTCTATTAGGGACATTACGGTACAAAACTCTCCCTCAGTGGGGCTTACTCTCTGCAAGAGTCTCCTACCCGCTCTCCACCTCGCTCTCAGGGTTCCCTGCAGCGTGTCGCCTTGCACCGCCTCCTCCTCCTCCTCTCCGTTCTACACTCCCCGCTCTTGCCTGTTCCGGGCTCTGTATACCAGCG